CTTGTCAATCCAAAGCTTTGCATGATGCAGAAAATCTGTCCAAGAGATTTTGCAGGGAAGGTTTACTGTGGACAACCAAGGCTGCGTCACCCGCAAACAGAAAATCTCTCAAAACCAGTTCTTTCACCTTGTTTGTTGCTCTAAACCTTATAATGCTGAACAAGCCTCGATCTAGTTTGGTTTGAAGATAAATGCTATCATTCTTGTCTTTGAATGCTTGAAGAAGCAGTAAATGTTGAAAGAATACTAGCAACATATATGTTACTAGTTATCTACACAGTGTTTCTAGCAACTATCTTTTAAAAGTGTTAGCAACCATTTTTCAAAATTGGAAAAGGCTCTCAAAAGATGAGCCAGTCAGAAGATATTAATTAAGGTGTTTGGTGTAGGGTTGAAGCCACAGAGGTAGTGCCTTTTAGCAAGCTATAAGCAATAGTTTCATAAAAGAACACAGGGTTAAATAATGTCTTTTGATTAACCCTGCAAATTGCATGTGTTTTGTGGTCTTTCTTGTGCATGGAAACTTTCCTCTTTTCTCTCCCTTTCTGTTTAATATACTTTCATGGACAATTTTGAAAGAAGGGTTTTTTTTTAATATATTTTCCAAAGGATATGTTGTTATCCACACTTTATGCAATTATTATATTAATGCTAAAAACATAAAATAATATCTTCTTCTAAAAATGTAAGAAATATTAACTCCCATTTTTCTCTGCCCTTTTGCATTTATTTATTTAAAATTTGACTACCAACTCCCTCTGTCAGGTAAGGTAAGGTAAGGTAAGGTAAGGCTGGACATAAGGAAAAACTTCTTTACTGTTCGAAACCCCAGGGCCTGGAATAGACTCCCCTCAGAGGTGGTGCAGGCACCTACTCTGGATTCCTTTAAGAAATACATGGATGCTTATCTTGCTGGGATATTTTGACCCCTACTGACTTCCTGCCCCTTGGGCAGAGGGCTGGACCTGATGATCTTGCAAGGTCCTTTCCAGCCTTAATGTCTATGAAATCTATAAGGTCCATGTTACATATGGAACCAACTACAGCACTGCAACTACAGCAAACTGGTACAGTTTGGCCCTGAGCAGCATGGGGATCACTTCCCAGTAACCCTGATTCCTCCTGGGTGCTGGCTGTGCGGATACCTCTCTCTGTAGTAGCAGTGGCTCCCACAGCAGGGATGTGATGCTGATAAGAAGACCAAGGTTAATAGGATGTGTCCCACATAAGCTTCCAGCTGTCCCAATGGCTGTGAGGGACTCCCACACCAAACCCTGACTCTTCACTGAGTGCCACATATTACCATCACTAGCAGCTATGGAAATCAGTGGATTTGGCACCACACTTGGGTTGTTCAGACTCTCTGGGAGGCTCCATTCTGGCACCTCCTTTATGTCAGTGGGATTGTGTCTCACTTGCCCAGCAGTAGTTATGGTACTGCTACAGTGGCTGTCCCTGCTTTCCCTCAGGAGATATTGCTTTAACCTGCATTTGGGTTAAGGAGATAGGTACACGTGTCACTTTAGGGATGAGAAACACATCTGCAAGCTCTGTCCAAATATCTTCTACTTACATAATCTTTCCACCTGTTAAGTTACTTCATCCTGAGTCACTAGACAGCAACATGCTCCTTCATTTTAATATACACTTTGCTAATTTTAGGGAGTTTGCCATGCACATCAGAGGAAGGATGGAGCCTTCAACACTGAAGTGACATGGTGACAATTAGAAATTGCTCAGGCTCTTTCACTTTGTGCCTTCCAGGATGGCCCTTTGGAAGCATGGTTTGCAAGATGAGTGGCATGGTCCAGGGAATCTCTGTCTCAGCCTCTGTTTTCACTTTGGTTGCAATTGCAGTTGACAGGTAAGATATTAAAAGACTGAAGCCAACAGGAATTTAAAATATATACAGTGACCATTCTCTCAGGATATCCAAGTGTCTGTTGTTATCATGATACAGTTTCACTATATCTCTAGTTCAGGGTATTTTTCAGCTCAGTTGAGAAGCTGGCAAAATTAAGCAAGGAAAGGTGAAGTGTGGCCACAAAATGTCCTTCCCCTGAATTTCCATAAGAAGGGTAGAAAAACAGGTACTTCAGGGAAGCCTACTGAGCGTGAACTCAGCTTTCCCTGCTGCTGCTTGTAGCATGAGGAGCAACTTGTTGTGCCCTGCTCTTTGATCACTTCCTAAAATGGGAAAAGAGGAAGACAAGTCAGAGTGCCTCCCTCCCTGCACAGAAGAGACTCTTAGAACAGGGAATACTCCTATTCCGGTCTGGAAACATCAGTCTCCAGGCAACGCACAGACCCTGCATCCTCCCTCCCTTCTAGTGACTGCTAATGTAGCAAAAGGACCACAGTCAGGCTGGTGGCAGCAGGACAGATGGGAGATCAGTGCTGGGGGCCTGGATCACAGTAGTTAGGCAACTGAACCCTTCTGCTGACCTTCTTCTCCCAGCTGTGTTATTTGCAGGTTCAGCAGAGGAGATTCACCATATTTACTCAAATAGAAGATGACCCTGATTATAAGACACCCCCCAATAATTAGATTTTATATATGGAAAATGTATAGTTTTGTTATAATTTTTCAGGTATATAATATAATTATTGGAGGTTTCCTTGAATTTGTCCCCCTCACATTTCTACAGCAGGGTAAATAAATCTGGGGAATCAGATAGGTCCTTGCTCTCTGCTTCCCCCCCAATTTTTTCCCTGCAAGCCCCTTCCCCCTCCTTTTACTGTCAGACATAGGGAAGTGAGGAGCAAATTTGAAAACAATAACCTTGAAATTAAACATAGCTATAGCAATTTTCATTCAGTACTCATATATTTAGTTCATCCTTAATTGATGCATGTTACATTTTTTTAACAGCTGCAAGATTTAGCACAGGTGTTTCATAAACACACTTTTGAGCAGCACTTTGGCACCTATTTATAACTAGTATAAAGTCAATAACAGGTAGGTGGTAGCTTCTTTCTGTGCCCAGCTGGTAAGTAACACAAGATGGGATGCAAAAAATGTAACACTTCCTTAACGTTAAGTTTCCATATAAGCAGTTATTGCAGGTGCCACAAGGGTGTTATTCCATTGTCATTGGTCAGGGAGGTGGTCCAGGCAAGCATGAACAGATGGGGAATTGTCTATGGGTGTGCTCCACTTCACAATGAAAGGTTCAACCAAAGCTTAGATAGATCTTTACGAGTAGCTAGCTCAGATACAGGTAACAGTGTAGTCCCAACCACATAGTTTAGCATGGGCTGCAAAGCCCAGATGGAGCTCCTGGTAAATATTAAAGCAATGAGGCAGGGCCAGTTTTTCCTGAGGATGATTCTTCTATATTTTTCTTAGGACTTTAAGAACACTGGTATCAGTCATATTGCCTTGAGAGCTATCCTCTGATATTTCCATCTCTCCACTGCAGGTTCCGAAGCATTGTTTACCCATTTAAGCAGAAGCTTACCATATCGACTGCAGTTGTCATCATTGTTGTCGTCTGGGTGTTGGCTATTGCTATCATGTGCCCATCTGCTGTCATGTTGCAGGTGCAAGAGGAAAAGTATTTCCGAGTGATTCTTGGCTATAACAATCAAACCAGCCCAGTATACTGGTGCCGGGAGGATTGGCCCAATCAGGAAATGAGAAAAATATATACAACCGTGCTTTTTGCCAATATCTACCTGGCTCCACTGTCACTCATCGTCATTATGTATGCTAGGATAGGTATTGCTCTTTTCAACACAGCAGTGCCAACTACAAGAAAACATGGCCAGGAGCAGCGCCATGCTGTGTCCAAGAAGAAGCAGAAAGTCATCAAAATGCTCATCACTGTGGCTTTGCTTTTCATTTTATCGTGGCTTCCCTTGTGGACTTTGATGATGCTCTCAGACTACGCCAATCTGACAGAAGTCCAGTTGCAGGTGATCAACATTTATATCTATCCTTTTGCTCACTGGCTGGCCTTTTTCAATAGCAGCATCAACCCCATCATCTATGGTTTCTTCAATGAGAACTTTCGCCGAGGTTTCCAGGCAGCCTTTAAACTTCAGCTCTGTTCTGGAGAGATGTTTCGCAGGGACGTTTACTCCCAGCGAGGCCAAAGCAATGCCATTTTACCGGCAGCCGCTTGCCAGCCTGCCCAGGACCAAGCTTGTAAAAAGGCTGAGGATGAGGGGAAAACAGTTAAGAAAGGGAACTGGATGGTCAACCAGCAGGAGTTGATGATGGAAGACCTAGAAAAGTCCTCCAATAACAATGGAGTTAAATGAGATGTGCTGTGAACTAGTAACATCATTTATTTCATTTTCCTTGTTAGAGTTCTTCTGATGTGGTATGAGATTTCCAATATTCAAGCCCTTTCTGGCAAAAAAAAAACTTCCTGACACATTGCAGCGATTCTCAACCAGGGTGCTGCAACACCCTGGGGTTCCTTGATGTTCTTTCTAGAGTGTCACAGGGTGCCACACAATGTTAGCACTGCTGGATGGACACACTTAATCACAAGATGAACTAGAGATTTTAAATAGGAATCCATTGTGTCAAATGCATTCAGACCTGTTGCCATATTTCTGAGTTCTTTGCAACAGAGGAATTGCTCATTTATTTTTTTGCAGTCAAAAATGAGCAAAAACTAAGAGCTGGCATTTTCTGAGGGATTGCTTGAGCATATCAATGTGTAACTTGAACCTGTTGAGGAGTGCCTTGAGTCTAGAAAGGTTGAGAACCACTGCATTAGTGTCTAAAAAATATATGTAACTTGCATAGTATCTGGTTGTCTGGACTATGCAATGAGACCTGATTCTGTTTTCTATTATACCAGTGGAAATCAGGAGTAACCCTTTTGCAATCAGTGGGCGAGTCTACACATGCATTTGCTGAGGTACCAGTTTACTCGTGAGTAAATTATTCGGTCCCAGACAGATGTCCACATGTACAGGGAAGCAGGACCAGATCTGCTGCCATTGGCAGTAAATCTGCTCCCGCTTCCTGGGGCCCTGCAATGAGCCCTTGCCACCACCAAGGGTAGCTCCAGGCTCTGGCTGCCAGCAGCTCTCTTCAAAAACCAGTCCCACTTGCTGCTTTCTGGCCAACCATGTCCCTGGCCAGGAGCAGTATACACAGTGCAGGGACAGCACGCAGCAGCGCTCTCCTTGCTACCTGTGCCTCCCCACACCATGGCTACTTCTGCCACTTCTACTGCCACTGCCCCTGATAGAGATGGCCAGCACCCTGCACTCATGCTGGCTGCTGTGCTAGCCCTACTGGCCCACCACACCAACTGACTCCTCACCACACGTGTTTCATCCCTCCCAGCTTCCCCACATGCAGTGACCACCTGTCTACCCACTGTGCGTTGTCCCAGGGTCACCATCACACACCTGCTGTCTTGACCCCATCTGTCTGACCGGACCCCACTAGGGATGCCAACAGTGAGCTCCAGGATGCCAGTTCTGGGGCTGCCATTGCCCTCCTGGACCTGCAGCTTCAATGCTTCTGGGCCCATCAGACCAGCCAGGACTGGTGGCATCATGTTGTCCAGCAGACCTGGGATGATAAGCAGTGGCTAGAGGCCTTCAGGATGACACCTTGTGGGATCTCCTGGAGCAGTTCTGGCAACACGTGGAGTGGCAGGACACCAGCATGCAGCTGCACCTCCCTGTGGACAACTGACTGGCCCTCACCCTGCTCAAGCTGGCCATGCCTAACAACCTGTTTGGTGTGAGCATGGCCATCACAGAAGAGGCTGTCCTGGAGGTGTGTGGCACCCTACAGGACGTGCTGGGGGACATCATGCTCTGCATGCATGACTCCCTGGCAGTAGTAGTCAAGTCCCATGCTCTGGGATTCCCTCAGTACATTGAGGCCCTCAACTGGACCTACATCCATGTCACCTGCCCACCCCATGGTGATTGGCCCTACTACGGCAGCCAGAGGGGCTTTCACTCCATGATGCTCCACTGAGGTGTCTTCATGTGCGAGTGCTAGCTGGGCAGGCAGTGCCCATGATGCTGCATCTTCCAAAACTACAGCCTACTGGGCCTGGTGGAAAATGGGTGCTTCATTCTGGGGGTGACCCACCCGCACCTTGGTGCCACGGTGGTCCCACCCATCCTCATTGGAGACCTCACCTGCTGTGACTCATGTGGCCCTACACTGGCCACCTGGACCCCCACCAGGCCTACTTTAACTGCTGCCTGGGATGGACCTGTTTCCTTGTGGAGTGTGCCTTTGGCCACCTTGAGGGATGCTGGTGCACCCTCACCACCTCCCTCGAGTTCACTAAGAACAACCTCCCTCTGCTCATCATCACAGCCTTTGTGCCTGTGTGCTGTATCTGTGAGGCCCAGGAGGAGATGTGATGCATGGAGAACACCTGGCAGTGGGAGCACTACCTGTGGCAACAACAGCAGCTCCTCCTGCCAAGGCCCCAGGAGAACCATGCATCTGTCAACAGGGGCCAGGGCACTGGGTGTGGGAGGCACTGGCTGACCACATCCTTCAACATTCCCCACTCTAGCTTACCTGCACTGGCACCCATGGACCCCCCACCCCTCCTTGCCCACCCCCAGCACCATGCTCACTTCAGACACGCCTCAGAAGAACAAGCTTTTATTTCCCTCACATCAACCAGAGCCCCTCTTCCCCCTCTACAAACAGAGGCCCCCTCCAACCTCAACAAACAATGCCCCTCCTCCACCCATGCCACCTACCAACAGTAAAAAACCTTCTTCCCCATGAAAACTATGTACAAAATGCTTAGTGTGCTACTCCAGGTTGGGGGGCTATAGGGTGGGGATGCCTAGGGGGCAGAGTCTGAGGACAGGTGGCCAGTGTCTCATTCTCTGGCCGTTCCCCTGCAGCTACACATACTGTGGTGTGTGAAGGAGGTGGTGGGAAGGGGGCTTACCCAGAGGTGACGGTGGCCAGTGCTCCCCACATTGTGGGTGGTTCTTCCTCTGGCAGGTGGTGTCCAGGGACAGCAGGGCGATGCGTAGTCCTGGACCCGCTGCAGGCAGCTCTGGCTCTGTGTGCATGTGGAGCCAGGGTGAGTGGCAGGCCTGGCCCAGGCAGGGGAGCTGGGTGGCACTGAACCCAGGGCAGGGGCTTCTGGCTGCTGGAGGTGGCACAGGACCTCCTCCCAGGCCCAGGTGGGGGCTTGCTGCTGGGCAGCAAGGGAATGCCAGGGGGGCAGGCAGGGCTAGGGTGAGAGGCTGGGCAGCAAGTGGCACAAAGGTGACTGCCAAGACCAGAACTGTGTCCAGCACCTGGCAGTCATCATCCATGGCCTACAGTGCCCTGGCCAGGACTGCAGTCTGCTCCCACAGTGCCACTTGAGGCCAGGAGCTGCACCCAGAGCTCCCAGTCTGTCTAGTCCTGCGCATCTTCATGGCCACATCCTCCACTTGCCATCTGTCCTGGAAGGCCACATCCTCCACCTGAAAGGCCTAAGCATCCTCCAGCCAGTCCTCTGACTCCCTGACCAGGTGATCCAGAAAGAGGATCCTTTTCAGGGTCCTCCTCTGGTGAAGCCAGCACATCCACAGGGCCCCAGTTGTTGGTGTCAGTGACCCTGACGCTGCAGCCTGGCTGCCAAGTGCAGCTTCTCCCCCACATGCAGCTGCAGGTGCTGTAGAAAGAAAGAAGCTCTTTGTGTGAGTTTGCAACATTTCAGAGATAGAATGCTGGGTACCATGGGCCATGCACTGCCCAGCCTCAGATTAGGGGTTGGGCATGCATGGGAGCCCAGGAACCATGCTAAATCAGGCAGGTAGGGCTGGGCCTAGGTGGCTGATGGCCAATCCCCCCATCTCCTCTGACTCCTTTGGGGCTGGTGGGCCACTGGGTGCTGGCCACGGGCAACCTGCCTCCCCTACCCTGTTCCCCGGGCGAGACACGTCAGGCTTCTGGCAGCTTGGTGCCCGGGTGTGGGGATCCTTTATGACTGGGATGAAGAGCTGCCCATGTCCTCACCCTCCCCACAGGGGTCTTCTCTAGGGAGGCATCCTGGGGCCAGCCCCCCCTGTACTGCCACTGCACTCTGAGTGTGCCCCTCTTCATGTGCCCTGGGCAGGATGCAACCAGCTGTTTGTATGGACTGAGGGGTGCCTGACTCGCTACGCCCTGCTGATGATGGCCATGGTGCCCCAGGCACGTCTGCATACCTGGCATGGGACCCTAAGCTACGACGGTGTGGGGGACGAGCCTGGGCTGCCCCATAACTGCTGCCACCTGGAGGGCTACCTGTGGCTCAGCTACACATTCCTGTCTCCTGCTGCCAAGCAGACATTGCCACCAACATCAATACATTCCTCAGCATGTGAGAGGCCTGTGTCCACCTAGCTGCAGGGGCATGGGCTGCTCAATAACTTTTTGCACTGTCTCTTGCCTTCCTGTGTGCTGAGGGGGGAGAACCCAGGGCCAGGGGAGTGTGGGCAGGCTGGGCAGGGAGTGGGGGCGGGGGCAGGGGCAAGGGCCAGGGGCAGGTGCAAGGGTCAGGACAGGGAGGGCCCTTCCCATAGTGCAGGCCTTACTATGTGGCCAGGGTTGGTGTAGCTGGTAGCTCTATGTGGTCATGGCTGTTTGTGATGGTGTGCGCCTCTGAGCAGTATCCTCAAATGGTGGGGTATGGCAGTCATGCACCCAGGTGAGGGCAGGGAAGAGCTGGTGCTGCTGGTGGCTGTCAGTGTCATGGCTGGCCATTCCTCTTGGCTGGGGCTGCAGAGCTGGTGCAACAGGTGCTGAGCTGCTGATGGAGGGTGGAGGTGGGGAGCCTGGCAGGACAGGCAGCTGCAAGCCCAAGGGCCCCTCCTTGGTGGAATGTCATCATGGGTGCCAGGCTAGGGTCGGGGCTCAGGTAGACCGCCTGTGTTGCTGTAGATAGCATAGCTGTGGCCTGAATCCCAGGATGCAAGGATGTCCATCAGTTGCCACATAGAGGGCATGGACTTACGGGCACTCCCCAAGTGACAACTGCAGTTGGTGATCGGAACCCACTGTGCCCGCAAGGCCTTGACCTTTATATAGCATTGCCACACTGACCAGTTGTGCCCATAGTCCTGCATTTGGCCTGACAGCCCCTCATAGACATGGCTGTTGGGGTGCTCTCCATGCTCAAACTGGTGCTGCACCTCCACCTTGCCCTGCAGTGCCATGAGGTCACCAGTCTCACCCTGTGATCAGTTGGGGCCCCAGATGGCAGGCATGGGTATGGGGATTGGCATCAGCAAGGACATTACCATTTGGGGTGCTGCTGTCTTCTCTGGGCCTCTGCACAGATGTTGCTGTGCTGCCGGGCTTGGGCAGCTGCCTGCAGCGCCTAACATAGGACTGACAACCGCACAGCTGAGGCAATGCCTCACAGCAAATGCAGGCTCTGTAGGCTGCTGGGGGTAGGCTGTGGGCAGGTGGAGCTGGCTCCATCAGCCAGAAGCTGCCTGCAGCTGGGCCTGGGCCCTGGCAGGTCTAGCTGGAGCCTGCAGCAGCCTGCAGGCTTGGATAGCTCAGGCCTAGCAGGTATATGGCATTGTGGCTCCAGGCAGTGGCGCTGGGGTGCAGGCAGGCTGGTGAGGCTAGCCTGTGGGCTGCCTAGGGAGACACAGTGCCTGGAGTCACCTCAGGCTGCCTGCTGGTGTGCCCCAGAGGTCAAAATGCCTGCAGGCATTTAAAGGTCTGAGGCAAGGTCATAGAGGCAGCCCAGCCTTGGGGCAGGAGTAGGCTTCCAGCCCAGAGCTTTGGGGTTAGACCCAGGCTGGTCCCCTAGCGGCAAGGCTGAACTGGCAGCAAATTTGCTCCTGGGTTGTGTCTACATGTCTATTATTGCACAGTAACTAATCACAAGTAAATTTGATACCTGCATTTTCAGGTATGAAATTTACTCACAATTAGGGATTTTTACTGCGTAGTAAGTGTGCGCATGTGTAGACGTGCACTTACTATGTAGTAAACTACACTACTGCGCAGTTAAGCATCTTGTGTAGATGCACTCAGTGGAATTACAAGGGACTGAAATGGGTACAAGTGAGATTAGTATGAAGCCCATTGATTTAAAATGAATTATCTATATTTACCCTGATGCAAGAGGT